TCGATGGTAAATGGGCGAAAAGGAATATCAAAATGGAAAGAACGCGCGGTGAAATGCTAAAGTATAGTCATTTGGTATTTATTAGATCGTTATTGAAAAAAAGCGCAGAGAAATTTGCCGAGAAATTTGTCGAGAAACGAGACGATCGTGAAACACATTTGTATTAGTTATCTACGCCACTGAACCGATATGAGCAATCGTATGGTTATATATATGAGCCGTTCACTGCACAAATTGATTAACTCCATAAAACAAAAAGTGGAGAAATGCAATGAAATAATGTATATTGTTTTTTAAAATTCCCTTTATAATTTAAATCGAAATAAATATCGTAGAATGCATAAATACAAATGTAACTTTCATCTAACGGTATATAAAATTTATAAGAAAAAATAGCCAAAAGGTAATCGTTAGTAATGTTACCATTTTTATGTTACTGGAAGAGTTAATCGATTTGGCAAGTGGAAAAAGTAATAAATTTAAATTTTACTAAATTTTACTTAAATTCTGATAAGACGGCACTAAAAAATTCACCGTTATCATTCGTGGCTTGCTGGTGCATTTGAGTTGCATTATTGCAACGATTTACATTAGAGTACGGAGTTAATCAAAGCGACCTCTGAAATAAATTATTTATTATTCAGTGGCCAAAAATTTTTGTCGCTTAATGGTGTTAATCTTAATTATCGGGGAAAGTTATTATAAATATAAAAAGTTATGACTATACCGAATGCTTTGACACTTAAATTTAAGATTTTTCAAAAAGCGGAGTTAATCGATTTGTGCAGTGAACGGCTCATATGTAGTTATGGATAGTTTATATAGGGAATCGTGTATCGTGCTAATATTTCTCTCCGCTACTGTACATGTTAGATGAATATAGAAATAAAAGCTCGAGGTATTTATATTTTTTCGTGTTTACGTAAAAATTGCAGAAAGTTGATAAATCATTGAAAATTTGATATAGAAAATGGAGAACGCAGGAAACATAAATATAGACGAATACTGCAAAGCGATCGGCAAGTACCAATTGCAATTTGATTTTTCATTTATTTTATTTGTTTTATTTCGATGTACATGAAATAACGATAACAGTTGTTCTACTTCAGTTAAATTGATATGCAGTATCGACTAACTTGAAACATCAAACGACAGGTGCTGTTTATATCTGTCTTTCAAAATTCCTAACCTAAAAATAATACGCGTTGTATTAACTAAGTTTACGATCGATATAAGCTTCGTAGGAAAACAACAATTTTGATTTAACGCGAATTGAAATTAAATTAGAGGTTAGGTTAGAAATTGTTGTAAAATTAATCCTTGCACTCGACCATTCTTTGACTAAATAAGAATAATTAAAAAATTTTGTGCTATAAAGCTGACGATATTTTTCTGAGAAAATAGGAAATCGTATAATAATTAACACGTAGAATTATTTGATTTCGATACCTGGTACAAGGTTACGTTATCTTAAATTTGACATATTAATGAATATCGAGCTTCGAAATTTTATCAAATGGCGATTGAAGGTCACCTCTCGAGTGCAAAGGATTAATATCATAATGGTATCGTTGTTACAGAAATTAAAATATTTACGAATCTAACCTATTCTTACATTCGACTTTTTTCGATATAATATACATTTTCGCGCATAAGAATTTTAAACCTTGTATTATTAATAAACGTTTAAAGCAGTAATAAGTAATAAGTAATAAGTAATTGGAGGAATACGAATAGTTCTGTGACTCAGACGACATTACCTAATCGTATAATCTAAATCTAAATCTCTTTGTAAGATATCATTTAAGTGAAAAAATATCGCAAACGAAAATTATTTCATATCAAGAGGGTATATTAATTATTAATTTTTAATGTCATACGCCTTAATATTTTCCTTGTCTGCTTTCGAATGTAGTTCAGGTAGCCTTTCAAATGGCGCGATTAAATGTTACAGTATTATTAGAGTAAAGTGTAATTAACCCTTTGCACTCGGCGACTTTTTCGTTACAGGAAAATAGTAATTCGAAGACTTTCTACCATAAAGTCGACGATATTTTTGAAACGGTAAATAAGAAATCGTATGCAAATTAAGACGTAGAATTATTTTACTTGGGTAATTGTAAATTTAATATATTAATTAACATTCATCTTTAAAATTTGATTAAATGGCGACTGAGAGACACCTCTCGAGTGCAAAGGGTTAAATATATTAGGGTTAAAAAAATTCAAAGTAACCTAATTATTGCATTATACGATTCTCTTGATACTAAACAACTTTAGGTTAAAAACATGTTTTCATATAGCAAATAGCGTACAAGCGATACGGTTAGGCGATTTATTCTGCATAATAGAAATACTAAACGATGTAGACATAAATATATAGAGCGTCCTGCAAATAATGGTATGATCTCGAAAATGATTTTATGTAAAAAAAATAAAAATAAAAAGAAGTCAGAAATAACGAAATATTTTCTTTTCTTTTCATACAAAAAAATTTTTTATTTTCGAGGAAATTGATTTTAATTAAATTAGTTATTGGTTTGGTCATTGTTGAGTCATTGTCCAGTCATTACTGTGTCACGATTGTGATACAAATTGTAGACTTATCACGAAAGAATTTTGAAAGGATCGTACAATTAAAGAGAAAAGAATGTTTGTTTCAACGTTTGATAAAATAAAAAAATTTAATATAAAAATCAGTGAATTTCCATATCTTCGAAATTCGACGGCATACAAAATATTTTCAATTATTCCCAAAGTGACAAAGTTAATTAGTAACACACGAGTAAATTTCATTACTCGAAGTAATACGTGTATAGACGAGTAGAGATAGCCTATGGCAACTATTCATCAAGTCGAGACATAATTAAGTGTGCTCGCACCAGTAAATATTTAAGGTTAATTTTCCTGAAAATAAAACCTCGTACGAAAACATTCTATTCCATGCTTTTGATTTAATCGACGTGAAAGTCAACGACATCGATTATCGATATTCCAAGGTAAATAGCTAGATTTAATTTCGTGAAAAAATTAAACGCTTCGGTTCGATATCTAATGCAACAAGTACTTCGATTCTACGTATCACGATACATACGTATCGTTAAATACATCTTATATATATCTATAAATATATTATAACGCGCAAATAAGCAAAGGAAAGAAAATTTTTTAATATAACATAACGCGAATATAAAAATAAAATATGAAAATAAAAGTATATCGAAATTCTTTTTCTATCGCTATATTTTATTCTATCAAACTCGTTTATACAAATAATTACGTTTATAAAATAAAATATAAAAATAAAGGTATATCGAAATTCTTTTCTATCGCTATATTTTATTCTATCAAACGCGTTTATACAAATAATTACGTTTATAAAATAAAATATAAAAATAAAAGTATATCGAAATTCCTTCTATCGCTATATTTTATTCTATCAAACCCGTTTATACAAATAATTACGTTTATAAAGTAAAATATAGAATATAAAAATAAAAGTATATCGAGATTATTTTTCTATCGCTATATTTTATTCTATCAAACTCGTTTATACAAATAATTACGTTTATAAAGTAAACTATAAAATACAAAAATAAAATATAAAAATAAAGTATATCGAAATTCTTTTTCTATCGCTATATTTTATTCTATCTAACCCGTTTATGAAAATAATTACGTTCATAAAATAAAAATATATGGAAATTCTTTTCCTATCGCTATATTTTATTCTATCAAACTCGTTTATACAAATAATTCATAGAAATAATTACGAGAAAAATTTCACACGAAATACGCGTGCAACGTGCAACAGTATAACCCAATTACAGTTTATTACGAAACTGAATTTTTACTCGTGACTAATCTTAATTCGAGGCTTTGTAGCATTAGAAATACCTTGACGTGCTTACACACGCTAACACAAGGGGAAAGGCAGAATAATTAATGCAGGAAATACGTATATAGGTACAGCTAATAGGACATTTCAGATAAGACATTATATACGTTGTATCTGTATTTATACGTATTTTTATGAGACATTTCTTAATTTCAGTGGAGCAAGATTACATCTATACATATTTGTACCATGATGAATACAGCACATACGCTAACACGACGAGTCTATAAATGGCAGAACGGTAATTTTAATCTACTCTCAGCTGGGGGGAATTTTACGCAACATTTAAATTGATTAAAATAAAATACACGATCAAGCAGAAACGATTAGCTGAACGACAAGCAGAACTATTAAGCATAGTGTCTTACTGTTAATACGTGAACCAACGAATCTTCCTCGAATTACCTCGGTTATTTGACGTATTTAGAAACAAACTTGCTAATTTTGTTCGTTTCATCTCTATCAACTCAAGAAATGAAAACGAAAGGATAATAAATAATATAACAATAACGATAACGATAACAAGAAATTAAAAAAGTCAAGATTTCGAAATCAGCTTAATTTAATTTAATTTAATTTGAAATTTCGAAATTAAAAATATTTAATCGTTATTATAAAAATATTTCGAAGATGCGATTTATTATACACCGATTCAAGAAAATTCTTTGCTTTATTGACACTCTTTGGGAAAGGAGAAATTAACAGGACAATTTTATATAATTATATAAAGTGTACAAAATTCAAGAATTTTAAATGTCTACAAAGTGCGCGCGCGCGTGTATGTGTTTTTCTTTTCGAAATAACTGTGTAATATATATGTCAAGAACGAATAAAAATAACAAACTATTACAAGCTTAATTGCAATTTCACGATGCACTCTCATCAAATTTACACACATTAAAAGCTGAATGTGTTGTTAGCGCGAGGGAAAATGAGAAGAGGGGTGGCGATGAGGGATAAGACGAAGAAGAGTTAAAATAAAGTTAAAGGTAAGAAAGAGGAGGGAAAACCGATCCAACACCCATTCGAGATAACTCGTCGTTAGACGATATCGTTTGGCAAAAATAAATTTTTTCGCAACAGGCACGGTAAAGATAAAAATGCAAGGACAAGGGAGATCAGAGGGGGGTCTGTCAGGCGAATACGAGTGTGTCGACAAGGCATTGCGGAAAAGTGGGGTAAACGAGAATTGGGCCTTATGCGAATCTCGTACCTGATTCCTCGATGGAAAGCCGCTCCATCAGCCACTCGATGAGATCGTAACCTGCAACACGCAGGCAGCCTACTGTAGTGTCCTGGCCGTGATGGCCGCTTACGCTTACTCCACAACGCAGGTACCGATGGCACTCACCCATGAAAGCTGAGGGAATTGAGGTGAGAAATTGTTTTTGGCTGCGCACGGGTACCCCGTTCTCAGGGTCTTGCATCTCCCGCACCAGCCCCTCCATCTGTAATAAACATAGTCGATCGATTCGTGTTACGCTATAGTTCGCCGTTCCGCCTTTCCATTCTATCATCCACGTTTTCGTCTAATACCAAAACGATAGATTCCTGGATTCTAGCCCTTTGCGGTCGTATTAAATTTGAACTCGAGTGTCATACTGGTCGGAATTAATTTCCGTTGAAAGAGCAGTGATACATAACATGCAAGATTACTAAGGATAAACAAGATTTATTCATTCCTTTGTGAACTTTAGATATATGTTTACACAATAATGTGTTTTAACGTGATGTTTTTATGTAAAAATTATATTTTGTAGTTAGTCCAATTTCGAGTCAATTATCTGTTTGACTATGGAGGATTACGAGTTTTTATTAACACGTTGACTGCCACGCGCATTTTACGTGGTTTGCCCATGGCGCCAACATGAATATTTTATTATGCGATGCATATTACGTTGAAATATTATTTACAACAGATAAGGCGAGTTGTATAATCGCGTTTAATGTATTTTTCGTGGTGGGGGTCACCGGTG